CCGGCGGCCGGCCCCGCCCCCTGCGCCTGGCGCGGTCACGTGACGTCCCCGCCCCGCCCGGGGCGTCTGCCTGGGTTTAGATCCGTGCATTGGAAGCCTGGGGTGTGTGGCGGGCAAAGACCCGGAGGCGGAGCTCCTGTGGGCCCATGTTGCCGTCCCCCATCCGCCTGAGGGCTGGGCCTAATTGCTTTTTCCCGTTTCTCTCTCTAGCACCAAGCTCAGTGCTCGTTGATCCAATGGTGAGGCTTGAAATGCTGGTAACACAGGATAAACTAGTAACGGAAGCGTCTTGTGTGATTCTGAGGGCGCCGGGTGGAGTGTCCTCAGCTGCATCTTCGTTGTGAGCAGCCTGCCGGCGGCATGGCGCTAACAACGGGGCAGGACGGCAGTTCGACTGGGTTGTGGGTCCCAAACCACGCCTAGATTTTGGGCTTCAACATCTCCCTGTTTGCCCCGAGCTGATCTCATGACCGAGCTGATCTTAGGAGACGGAGGCCACCTAACAGTAGTTTTGATGAAGGGCCCCTGTGTAAGATGGGATGCAGGTGGCTAGGAGGGCCTCTGTTCAGTGCTTGGAGTGCCTGGGACTCTAAGGTACTCAAGGCTGGGACTTCTGTTCCTGAGGGCTAGGCTTTGAAGACCGTGCCCTTTACCCTTCACCAAAGAGTTAGCCCAGAACAGGCAGTTCAAAACCAGGAAAGACAAGTGGACAATCAACATGTTAAAATATTCTCAGCCTCTTGGCAATCTAGCAAACCAATTAAAATGACAAGAAAATACACCTGCCAGACTGATACAAATTAGAAAGTTGGACAAAATCAAGTACTTGCAAAGATATAGCGTAATAAGACAGGGATCACAGGAGTATAAATTGGAACATCCGTTTTGGAACACAGTTTGGAGTTATATTGGTAACTTAAACATGTTTCTACACGCTGACCCAGAAATTCCACTCCAAAGCAACTCTTGTACGCCAGGAGACATGTACAAGAATGTTCACAGTAACTTGTTCATAATAGGAATCTCTGACAACAGCCCAAATGTCATCAAGGGTAGAATGGAGTTTTAAAACTGTGGTATGGCCGGGCTCGGTGGCTCAGCCTGTAATCCCAGCACTTTGGGAGGCCGAGGTGAGTGGATTGCCTGAGCCCGCGGGTTTGAGACCCGCCT